CAAACAAACAAACAAACAAACAAACAAACAAACAAACAAACAAACAAACAAACAAACAAACAAATCCTTGCAGCCATAAACACATCTTCTTCATTAACCATTTGAACTGCAAAAGTTATTGATTACTCTAAATTATTCACCCAAGAAACACCAACATTTATTTAAATACACATTTTAAAAAATAAAGAACTTATATGATAAATCATTTAAAAGTAACGTCTTTAATGATTTGAAAGAAAAAACATAGTAATCAAAAAGTGCAGTCAGCTGTGAAATATAGAAGCAAAAAAGGAAGAGACAAAACAACTTTTGCTGAATGAATAGATGTTATGCTGAAATCCAATATTCTTCTATTACATCTAAGATAAGACAGGAAACCACCAACATCTTTACCGTGTTGTCAAATGCATTTGCTTATTGATTTACTCTGATGAGAAAACTCTATACATGAACCTGTGATATAAAAAATACCACACTATGAGACTTGATTTGTCATGTACTCTGTGCAGGTAGGAATGCTGAACCCAAAAGTGCAGACTAACGGAGGCAAAAAAGGTGAACTCAAAATACAGTTTTAATACTGGACACAAGGAAAACTAATTAAACTGAAGAATACAAATAAACTAAGGCAGGCAGATGGAACACACAGTGAGGTATGATGCAAATCACAACATAGACCAAGAAAAACACAGGGTTTAAATACACAGAGGGAGCAAACAGGGAATGGGGGACAGGAGGGAAACACAGCTGGGACAAATCATGCCTAACAAGGACAAGGGAAGCAAACTAAAAACACTGACGTGAGACACAGACTTTCAAAGTAAAACAGGAAACATAACACAGAGACACGGATTTGACGAGCAGACAGGGGCAGACGGAGCAACTATGGAACAAAGACAGAAACCAGAAGACTAAAAACTCTAACATTGAACCCAAAAGACTAGAAATGATAAATAATGACAAAATCAAAGTTAAATAATCATGCAAAACTTCAAAACTCTGGGTCAACGACCCAGGTATTCTAACATGATTAGCCTAACACATTCTGTTTGCAGGAGAAGCTTAATGTTCATCAATATAAGTGTAGTGTAGTGTACTTTAGTGTTGTAAGATAATTAGTGTTTAGTCTTTGAATTTTATTTGCTAGTGTCAAGGTAGCAATGGTCCTAATCATATATAAACTCTGTGGTATAAAACAGTCTTGAGTAACTGCTACGGGTGCTAACTATCTTCGGTTGCTTACTCTTGGCTTTGTGCAGGTATATGTTGGTAACATAAAACCAGTTCTGTGTTTGTGTGCTTTGGTGTCTCTGTGGATGTGTTAAAAGCTTATCAAAGGAGAGGTGGTTTGTGTTGCCTCAACAGGAAGTTGTAAGTTTTGTTGTAGTCACCTGTTTTATATTGGCAAAAATTGAGAAGTTCTATGAAACTTTAACAACAGAATTTTTTTTTTTTGCTGAACCAAAGTACAGCTTGTGGCTTTGCAAAGCAACGCCACACTGAAACTGGTCTAGTTCTCATAGGAAAAATGAGATATGAATATAAATAGTCAGTCTGTTGAGAAGGTGAAATTGAGGTCTTTTATGTGATTTAATAGCAAGATGGAACAAACAAAGGTTCAGGCACCAGAAGATCTGTCCATGTGTTCACAAGATTTTTTTTGAAAAGGATGTGGAAAGATACTTTCCCATTTTGAGTGTGTAGCAAAACCTTTAGAATGGCCTAAATATGCTTGAACATCATTGTTGCTATGTGTCCAGGAAAAGAACACCCCAACAAGGCTGTTAAAACAGCCATTTGAATTCTTACTGAGGAATTTAGAAATTATGTTCCTGTGGCGGTTGATAAAGTAGCTCTCAGTGACAAACATGAAACTAAAAGCTATGTTTTCTCTCGTACTGTATTCTAAAATTAGCCAGAAAGGTTCTGTTTCTTCAAGGTCAATTATAAAAGTTCTGAATGCTAGCAGTGGGAACTCTGAATGATCTGTTTTTATGGTAAAAAGCCAGGTGATTTCATAGCTGACTGTAATGCTCTTAATAAGAAACAAAATACTGTTAAGTCTGTGGGATTGATGGCTCCAGTGCAATGTCAGACACCCATGGTAGAAAGTAGTTTCATTTGTTCACCTTAGGCTATCTCTGTTAACATAATAACTGATCTAGTACAGGTAAAACTAGCCTCAGGTCAAGTGCTGGTGAAGGTGCTTTCAGAGGCACCTCAAAAAGGAATGCCTCCATGGCTAAGTAAAATTTCAGTATGGACCTAAGACAAGTAATTAAAGCCATGCAGCAACATATTAAACACTAACCTTGTGTTGTGGATGAAGTTATTTTCACAATCAAGCCTCCATCACCATGGCAAGATCAAAAAGATGGTCTTGTGTAGGGATGGGTATCGTTTAGGTTTTATCCGATACCGGTGCCAAACCAGTACTTTTGAAACGGTGCCGGTGCTTAAACGGTGCTTGAACCGGTGCTCGAACCGGTGCTTAAAGAATGGAGAACACAAACTTTGTCCACAAACCTCTTATGTTTTTATTTGGAGCAGTCTCTTTTTTCTGCAAAATGATAACCAAGTTAACCTTTTTTGTTGATACAACATACCTCCTTTGGTTGGAACCGGTGCTTAAACAATGCAAAACACAAACGTTGTCATAAAACCTCTCATGTTTAGCTCATGTTTAGCTCATGTTTGGGGTGAGGATGATCATGAGAAAGGTGGTCGATCAGACTAAAAGGACACAAGAGGAGCTTGGTAATGATCTTAAGGCAGCTGGGACCACAAACACTAAGAACACCTTCTGTAAAACAACGCTGTGATGGACTGAAGCACCTGTTTGTCAGTGAACTTCTAAATTATTTAAGTTATTTTGGTCAGATGAAACCGAAATCAAGCTTTTTGGCATCAACTTAAGCCACCCTTTTGGAGAAAGAGAAATGGTGAGTATGAGCTAAAAAATACCATCCCCATGGTTAAGCACGGAGGTAGAAATATTATTCTTTGGTGCTGTCTCCAGACATCAGTCCAATAAAATAAATAAATAAATAAATAAATAAATAAATAAATAAATGAAAATCGGTGGAGGGAGATGAGACCTGGAGGCTTCACAAAGTCATCTCAGAAAAGACCAAAAACTATCAGGAATTAAGGCAGTTATGTAGCCAAAACCAATAGTAACTATCAAGGTATAACTAATGAATTGGCTGGTGAGAGTATACTCATAATTTTCTCACATTTTACAGGTCAAGTCATGAAAAAAATAAACCTGGGGTGTATTTTGCAGTCTTAACAGAAGCTGCTTTTGTACATTAGCACTTCAGAGGATTTAGGCACTGCACAACTGTTTTTTAGTGAAGTTGCAGCTTTAACCAGCAGCTTCTTTTCAAACTTCTCCCCGGGAGCCAAATTTCAGCCCTCCCTTACTCTCATCTTACGTCTAAACCCAGCAGCTTGTGATTGTAGCACGTCACGGAACCTTCGCCGGATACGTACCGTGGACTATTATACGGAAATGCTCACTATTGTCCGTAGGATGCAAAGCCACTATTGATCTCAGTCTGCCTATTGCTCATGCACCCTCCCTCTCCCCCTCGCTCCCCATCACAGACACACACATACACTCACACACTCACTCACGCTTCCTACCTCCCATCAGCATCCCTGGGCTTTCTTGGACTGCAGCAGAGAAACCGCTGCATCGAAGAAGACAAGAGGAGAAAAAAAATAGAAAAAAGAAAAAAGAAAGAAAGAATTAATCTAGGCTCGTTGCTCACTACCTCCGTGGCCGTGTAGAGACGCAAATCAAGGAACGGACACTTCAGAGTCTTCGAGTTCGTTTCGATGCACTAGAAATTGTAAGCATTTATTGATTTGTCTCACTGAATATCAGCAACTATAAGTTCATCTCCTCCGTCACCCACGCTTTAGTCTGGATAACTGTCATTAACGGTAAGAGGAAATTTCGTATTCATCTGCTGCTTAAAAAAATTGCAGTAGAAAAAATAAAATGCTCCGCGCTCATGATTGACGGGAAAGTTGGGCAACTTTCGAAGTAGCCCAGCGCGAGCATCTTAAGCTGTGCTTAGAATTAGAAATCCACACCACAGAACTGTGTTTGATCAGAGTAGCTCCTCATTTTCTTGATGATCAGAGCAGATTCTGAGGCGTGTGTCAGCTTTTGCCTGCTGCCAAAGTTTTATTGATTATTATTATTATTTTTAAATATCTTTTTGTGTCTAGTCTTTTTTCATCGTGGAGCAATGCTGCGACTTTTTGCTATGCGTGTGTGTGTCCATGGAAAGGGTGATGGGGTAGGGGGTGCTACCATCCTGACGCGATCATTGGTCATAGAAAAAGCGAGTCGGTGCACGCACGGCGAGGCAACCCCGAGCTTCCCCCTCCGCTTAGCGCGCACGAGCAACCGGAGTGAAATCTGCAGTAAGATGCGCACAGAGAGAGAGACGACGAGGGGAGGGGGGAGATAGGTTCATCCATTAATCAGGAGTCAGTGCTCGATGCGGTGTGAGGAGAGCAATCTAACTGTACAGCGTAGTGCGACGTCGTCTCGCAAGGGAGCATTGAAAGGACTGCCCGAAATCTAATTATGGGACGCCACTTGCGTCAGAGGGCCGCGCGGTGATTGATGTTCCTTCCCGCTCGTGCTCTGCGCTATACTCACCCGGTGGCGCCGCCGCGTAGAAGCCGCAGTAGTAAAAACGCTGCAAGTAGAACAAAGAGGAAAGTGACAGATGAGTTTTGCATAAAGCTTTCCCAAACTTCCCCATTCATCCTTCTGGAAATTGTGACCAGGTGTTCGCTTCGAGGCAGTTCTCTTGACCGGATAAATGTTCCATTTGAATAGATATTTGTCAAACACTCAAGTCAGTAAATTGATGTTTGCCTTAGGCCCGTGTGCCTCCGTGTTTGGTTTAGCACGCGAGATGGCAATGAAAACATCCATTCATCTATTCACATTAGTCGTTTTCACTTCTTTGTTAATCTCAATTTTCATCTCTGTTTGAGGACAGTACGCACAAAGGAGGGTTTGGCTTGCATGTCTGCGGCACACGTCTCACAGATGGTGGGGGCAGAAAGTCAGGATACAATCTGTCAGGCGGTCACCAGCCTGTAGAGAGCAGGGCAGGTAACATCAAGCGATTCATATGTGGACATAAGTGAAGAATGTCTCCCTCAATTATTTAGTAGCGCTTCATGACTGTCTTCTTTTAACTGGATTCAGTGTTCAGTATGCCAACAAAGGTGGGAGAGTCCTTTGTAAAATTCGCTTCATTTGCTGAGATCAGTGATGTGAAGCCACCTTCATGTCTAATGCTTCAACAGCTCATCGTTTTACTGTGTGGAGGTTAATTGAAATCATAATGAGTTAAAATGTTTCACCTGACCAAATGTTTTCTAGTATCCCTGGCCTAATTAATGTGTCACGTATAGGACAATGAATTTGTTTCATATAGCACAAGAAGGTACAACAGCAAGATACCAGGAAGAACTGGAGTGACTATAGAGATCTGACTTTATTCAGAAGCTGAGTTGAACAACCACACTCACACCCGGTCTGTTGCTTTGAACTTCACTGGCTTGTTGAAAGTGAATATTTAAGTTGGAATTTTTTTTCTGAGAGGCACTGTGCAATTTGCTGAGAACAAAATGATGCAACAGCAGTCATCATCGATCCACTGAGGGCTGGATTAAAAAATCCCACTAAAAAGTTAAAGGGTGTTCCAGTGTCCCCTTTTTGAGCAGCATAAGGAGAGAGACAAACAAATATAAAGTGGTGGATTCTGACATGTTGACAAAGTCTAAAAATACAGAAAGTTCAACTGAGCATTGCACTGATCATGACAACAGACACACACGATTCAAACTTCTACAGAGGGACCTCTACAGCAGCTGGCCAAGCTCCAGCAGTCAGTAAACCTTCACAACTGTCAACTGGCCTTTTGGGATTCTGATCAAAGCAGTCAAGTGGGGTTTGCTTGTAAGTTTTTTGTTATTTCCACTCCTTCTGTGTTCTGTGGCAAATGCTCACTTGTGGCCTCTAAAATTTGCTATGTAGTGGTTTGATCACACTGCATCTTTTGTGTCAATTTTAGGGAAAACTACAACGGAAAGATATCCCTCTAACGTTCTATTAGAAAACAACCAGGTGTTAAATGTACACATAGATAAGAGGTGTGCTAGAACATGGCATAATGTTTCATAATTTTCTGAGATCAATAGGGATCGAAACGTTTTATACCTTCTTCTTTTTTTGCTTTGGCGACAGTTGTGAGGTTTCCTTCAGGCTTTGCTAAGCTTCATACACCTTTCATGCAATACAGTTACAGTACTGTTAATGGTGGTAAAGCATGTCGTTTTTAGATGTCTCAGTGAGTCAGGAAAAAGTTACTGAGTGTAGAAAATAGAACAGTCTTCTATAGAAAGCACATTCTCTTGTTACATTTTTGTCCTGCTAATTTTAATAATATTCAGGAGAATTACCAACTCTGATCATTGCTTTAAAATTTTTAATCTCTGTCTCCTACAGGCAGCAAATCCAAATTCAAGGCTTACTTTACCTACTCATTGTACCACTATAAAAGTACTCATATTGCATGTCTACATGTGGAACCACATGGGAGGTTCTGAAGTATTTCTGTCAAAATTTAAACTTCTCTTTTGAAGCATCTGCAGAGCTTGGCATGTTATTTTATTCACATGATGTGCATGAACAAATGTTCACTGCAGCCATCTGTGGGCACCGTAGAGAGCCTGTAGGGCTTTGCACATACCGCTTACACTCACATATTGTCAGCCAGCATGTCGCATGCACTCACTGGATCTTATGCTCAACAAAATGTTGCTGATTTTGATATTATCAACAATGAATTATAGTTTCAAATTGAATAATATACTGCTGAAAATTGCTTGTTCCTTTTACCTTGTGTCATAAGAATATGTCTTACTGAGTCTCATAGCAAGCACCTCCAAAGTGGACCTGTGTGTGCTTGCAGGCATCTAGTGTTTTCGTGCGTGTTTGCCAGTGATTAATGAATGTTGCTGGATGGCGTCAGCAGGCCATGACAGCTCGACTGCAAGGAAATCATTTCTTCACCCTCCGCGGACTGCTGATTCAGAACTTGCAGGAATTTTGCTGATTGCTAAAATCACAACATGAGAGTTGTTGTAATAATAACCCCAATAACTGCGTCACAGCAGAAGGCATGGGGAGTCGCCATCAGAACGAAAATAGAAGTGGCCATAAGCGATATTAGCTGTTTATTGGAGGAAATGCCAAGGTTGTTGGTTGAAGTGTGGTGACTTATTGTATAACCATGGGTAATTTCTGACATCAGCAATATGTGTATGTGAGGAAATGGATTAAAGATTGCTTCAAAAAGAGACTGGACATTTGGACCGGACTTTTAAGAATTATCTCTGTAGCCCAAACTATATTGAAAGACTTCTAAATGTCAGCATTAATGGCCATTTGCATAAGGAGGAGAACGGTTAGCCTATCATGAATAATGAAATGTCAACAGAAGAGGCATATCTTTCATATTCTGCATTACCATCAAGATGATGACTTTGAAATTCTTGGCGCACTTGGATAAGCGAGATGAGAGATGGAAGAGGGAAAGAGAGGGAGAAAAAAGGAGGAGGTGAAGAGAGATTGAGAGCCAGAGCGAAAGGAAAGTAGAGATTAGCATGGAGACCAGGGAGTACACGCAGACCCAGGTGTCTGTTATACAAAATTATCCATTTCCCTCTTTTATAAAAAGTTCTCTGAGCATTGCTGGACAGTTAGTTGATTGGCTATTTTCTTCTTGACCATTTGGTGCGGAAACTCTCAGAGCATATCATGAGGTTTATCACACATTTCGACCTTTAGTCAGAGGCATCAAGTGCTCAGTTTGGAGGAGCAGTGTGGTTAAAAATGAGGGGAAGTTTGGAAGGAGGAATGTGCTTCTGTACTCACAGCGGTATGCTCAATGGAAGCTCTTTTGTGCATTATAAAAGCACAGAATGTCATAGTTGACCAATAATGTTTGATGTATACTGTAAATTCGAGTGTTACTATGAGGTCCTTCACTATATAGTATCTTGTTTGATTTATATAGGGATCTTATATAAATAACTAAATATGTAGTTATTTAGTTATTAAACAGGATGCTAAGGTCTGACAAGATACTACATACTCTGCATAATCTGTTTCAAACCACATTGTGATCTGCCCTTAGATATTTCTAGTTATGGCTAAAGTAGTTTTGTTATTTTGAAATGCACCCTGCATCTACTACTTCAGTAGCTAGGTACATTCATTTAGCTTGCCACCATCTTTTACCTCAGAAGTCAAATGTTGGAGCTGAGAACAACGTCAAGCCCGAGTTTGCAGTGTTCCAATAATAATAGTAAGAAAAAAAGCCAATGTTGGGA